GGCGCAGCCCGAGCCTAGGAAGGCCCGCGCGCTCACGATGGGCATCTGGGCACCCGCAGCGTTGAAGTCGATGCTGAAAACGCGGTCGTCGATGGGCATCGGTGCCCGCCTCTTGCCTCGGAGCTCCACCGCGCCCCCCCTGGCTGCACCGCGCCTCGGCCCCGCGCGCCCCGACGCGTCGGCCGCGATGTCCTGCGCGAGCTCTCTCGGGCAAGGTCCAGACCGAGCCCGCGTCGAGCAGGGTCTTGACCGACTCCGAAGTCGTCAATCAACGCAACGTGGATCGTCTCCTCGGGTAGGTCGCGGCCGTCAAATCCCACCTCGCCAGTCGCGCTGGCGCCCAGGACTCCCCAAGCCGTCATCGTCGCTCCAAATCTCCAACGGCGTGACCCCGCGCTCGTCGCCCGCGTCGGGCCACCTGTCCACGCGGCCGAGAGCAGCGCGGCGATCATCTGGGGCCAGGCCTGCCGCTGCGTCCTCTGCCAGGCCGCTGCTGCCGCCGACTGCACCGCGAGCCGTGCGCGAGCCGCTGCCATCTGTTGCGGCATCAGGCTGGCTGCTGGCTCAGGCCGCAGGGTGGCCGCCGAAGGCTGGTCTGGCTACGGCGGCGGCGGTGGCGCAGAGGCCGCGTGGGCCGCCAGGGCCGCCGCGGCCCGTGCCCGCCGCTGAGTCCTCGGTTCCTGGTGCCCGTCGCCGCCGTCCTCCTGCGCCGTTGCCTCCAATTCGCTCGTCCTTGATCCGCTTGCGGCAATTGCGCGCGGGGTGAACCTTTTTTCGCAGAAATTGCACCGTCTGTCCCGTCGTCGTTGCCTTCGCCCCTCTCGGATTCGCCTTTGCCCTGGCCCTTGCGCCTGTTGGTATTGCCCTTGTGGTCGCCATTCCCATGCGAGACCGCGTCGGCCTCCATGGCGTCGCCAGCCTCAGTGGTCGCCAACGTCTTGCTCGCGCTGATGAGCGCCCGCAGCGACTCTCGGATCGTCGGGCACGCGTCCTGGATGGCACTCGCGTTCTCGGCGTTGCGGGGAACAGTCGCTGCCAGAACCACACCTGGGATATTTTACGCGACAGGTTGGCGCACTGTTTGTCCAGCCTTTCGAAGATGCCGATGCTCTCGCTCAACGGGTCTGGAAGTTTCGCGCGCAGCACGGACAGGGGCATGGCCTGGGAACGCCGCCGTTGCTTCGCGGCTCTCGGCCGCGGGGCGCAACGCGGCCCCGCTACCGCGAATGGGCACCGACATCCTGAAAAAGGGGTATGCTTTCCCATCGACTGGCAAGGCGCTGACCCATCGCGGCGTTGGTCTCTCTCCGTGGGAACCTCCATCCTTTCTGAAACGCATACTAACATGCCTGATTGCTCATATACTATCGGGAGCTGGAAACTCGTATTTCCATTTTAAAACCGCCTTCCCTTCGGGGGGGGGGGGGCCCTCCCCCCCTCAACGAGGTTCCAGGAGCAGGGCGGGACGTCGTGTGGAGTTTTTTTTTGTCCGCCGGGATGGTTCCAAGAGGGCTCGCGGTGCCCCACGATGGCGTCCAACATGACCCAACATAGCCGACAACGGTTCATCGTAGCTTCCCGCATGCCACGAGGGCTACAAAAAGGTTCCAAGTGCTCTCGGAGCCCCCTCAAGACCGCCAGAAAGGAGCCCAAATCGTCCAAGCACAAAAACATGAGTGTTGACGTCGCGCCTCGTCGTTTCCGATGAGCTGTAGGCGCGTCAAAGTAGCCCCACGATGGCCCAAGAGAGGCCCAAAAGGGGCCCAGAAGGCCACCCATGCAGCCCCAGGGCGCCGTGGAGCGGCCCGAAAGCGCCCCGAAAAGGGCCCCAAGAGGCGACTGTGACGGCCCCACGGGAGGCGCCAAACGTTACGCCCCCCCCTTTTTTCACCGGCGCCCTCCACGATAGTCCGACGAGGTCCCCCAGGGCCCCCATCAGGCTTCCAAGAGAGCCCCCAAGAGGGCCCCAAGAAAACCCCAAGACCCTCCAAACGAGCCACAAAATTATCCCAACGTTCCCCAGCAGTGTCCCAACAGGGTTCCGTGAGCCCATTTTGACGTCTCTGTCCTCGTCCTCGTTGAACTCCTCCTCCTCGTCCTCCTCCTCCTCCTCCCCCTCGTCCTCGTCCTCGTCCTCATCGTCGTCCTTTTTCCCCTCTTCCTGTTCCTCTATCTCTTCCTCGTCGCGGCGGTCGCGGTCGCGATCGCGGTCGCGGTCGTCGTCGTCGAGTTCGTTGTCGACGACGTCGTCGTCCTCGTCGTCGTCGTCGTCGTCAGCGCCGCCGTCGTCATCGTCGCGGTCGTCGTCGTCGTCGTTATCGCCTTTCGTTTTCCTCCTCCTCCGCCCCCCCTCCTCTTGCTCCTTCCCTCGCGCCCACGCGGGCCCCGGGGTTTTCCCGACGAGACCCTCCAAGGCCACCCCCTTCCTCCCAAGGACTTCTCTGCCCACCCCGCTTGCCCACTCTGTTCCACTACATGCGTACGGTTTACCTTTGTTCCCGCCAGCTCTCAAGGGCAGGGTTCCCGAATGGGTCGGTGGGGATTTCCCTCGCAACCGCAAGCGGGCAGCCGCGCGGCGATAAATATCGACAGACGCCAGGCATACGTGCAGGGCGACAGCCCAAACAACAGCGGGCAAGCGAGGGAAACAGGGTAAGCCAAGGGGGAGCGCGGGCGGCGGACGACGAAAAAAAGGGCGATGAACGCGGCACTCTCAGAAGCCTACGACCACGCCCGAGCGCGCCAGGAACCCGTCGTCCTCGGAGTACGTGCGAAGTAACGTGTAACGCATGCGGCCTGCGAGCCGGCGTCAATCAGATACCGTGGGCCGAACAGCGTGAACCCGCCGCTTGGACGAGCGTAGAACGAACGCGTACATGACCCTGCGCCCCAAGATCGCTACTAACAGAAAGAGTCGACGAAGGGGCATGGTGGACGGCTATGAATAACCCAAAGCAGGCCACCAATTCCGTGAACAGGAAGCCCCGTGCAAGGGTCCTGACGTCTTGCTCGAGCACGAGACCACTATTCGATTGGTTCAATGTGCTTTCCAAGACTGATGGGCTTATTCGCTACTGGAACGCATAAGACGCCCTGGACACCCGGGAAATGCTGTACCTTGTGAAAACATGATATTATCAGTACGTTTTGCTCTTCTCCTCCGCGAGGGGCAGCGAAAGAGGGGACAGGCTCGGGGGATGCAACATCCACCTGGAAACGGCGATCCACCGCTGATAGATCAGCGATACGCTCTCGATAGCGAATCGCGCAATCCTGGGCGGGGCGGGTTATCTGGCCCTTATCAGCGATGAGTGGGCGATTGGGGGTTGATGCGCCCCCTCCCGAGCTTACTCATGCCCCACTAACTTAGTAGCTCCATCTTGGGACCATCCTGGAGCCGCTCGCTCCACTCATGCGTCGATGCTGGGTCGAACGTCCGCCGGCCCGAGCCAGCCTTGAGTCGAACAGATCCATCAGGTTGGCCCCAGGGAGGTCCCCAAAACGAACCTGACGATCCTACACACAAATTGTCCCAACCATCCTGTGGTGTTGGGTCCTCGTTTTGAAGAGACACCGCCCCGCGTTCCTCCTTTCCTCGTCCGCCCCCACCGTTCACATGCGTCCACCACACCAACTGCGGCACACCCCTCACACGCTTCGTGGCCCCATAGGGGGCTCCACCCAAGGCCCCAGTGGCACAGTCCAAATGCGTCCGCCACATCCATTGCGGCATACCCCTCACACGTTTCGTGGCCCCGCAGGGGCCCCACCGAAGGCCCCAGTGGCACAATCCACATGCGCCCGCCACACCCATTTCGGCACACCCCTCACACGCTTCGTGGACCCGTAAGGAGCTCCACCCAAGGCCCCCATGGCACCGTCCACACGCGTCCGCCACACCATGTCGGCACACCCCTCACACGTTTCGTGGCCCCGCAGGGTGCCCCATCCAAGGCCCCAGTGGCACCGTCCACATGCATCCGCAACACCAAGTTCGGCACACCAATTACACGTTTCGTAGCCCCATAGATAGCTCCAGAGAAGGCCCCAGTGGCACCGTCTACACGCGTCCGCCACACCCAGTTCGGCACAACCCTCACACGCTTCGTGGCCAGCTCCACCGAAAGTCCCTGTGGCACCGTCCACACGCGTCCGCAACACCCATTTCGGCACAACCCTCACACGTTTCGTGGCCCCATAGGGAGCTCTACCGAAAGCCATCATGGCACCGTGGACATGCGTCCGCCACACCCACTGCGGCACACCCCTCACCGGTTTCGTGGCCCCACATGGAAATCCACCGAAGGCCCCAGTGGCACCGTCCACACGAGTCCGCCACACCCATCTCGGCACACTCCTCACGCGCTTCGGGGTCACATAGGGAGCTCCAACCAATGCCCGAATGGCACCGTCCACATGCGTCCGCCACACCCATTTGGGCACACCTCTCACACGTTTCGTGCCCCCAAGAGGGGCCCCACCGAAGATTATACTCCCGACTGCGATGCTCACAGCTGCATACAGCTGGGTGCTTCGCCAAGCTAAGTCAACTGTTCGCGATCACGCCCGTGACCAGCCCGGCCCCCCCCTCCCCAAAACGAACGTGTATCATAACTGAAGAAAACAGGAAGTACCAATGCTGCTACTCCCTGGGCCTCTCCTGGGGTGCGCCCTGACCAGAATTTCGAGGCGAATCCAGCGGTGGAGACGAGAGCCTCCCAGGAAGCCCAAAAAGGCAAACGACGGAAGGGCAGCGGTACAGTCAATCCGTATAGTGAGGCTGCGCGACAAGGATGCAAGGGCCTTGGACGCCCATTCCGAAGCTCTTCGGGCGGGGCGCGGCCACCGAAAGTGGCGAGGGATGGACCAAGCAGGCAAGGATGCGAGGGTGCCCTTGGGAAGGTTGCCCACGGATGCTATGCGGGTTGACTGCATGGGTCACTCTTCCACCCATGACCTCTATCACAACGATGCCCTTGACTCCGCGGCGGCGAGGCCGCCTGCAGGCGGCGGCGGTGGCCATTGCCGACAAGCCACGGGGCGGCGCCGGCGGCGGAGCGCGGCTGCCGCGGGGCCCGTCGGCCAGGAGCCGAGAATGGGAGGGGGGCCTGGGGGAGGCCACTGCCTGGGAGGGCCTTCGCAGCAATAGCGGCGGGGGCTCTTCCTAGCCTTTCTGTTCTGTTCCTCCTCGTCCTCGTCGTCCTTTCTCGTCCTCCTCCTCATCCTCCTCCTGTTACTCCAACTCCTCCTCCTCCTCCTCCTCCTCCTCCTCCTCCTCCTCCTGTTACTCCACCTCCTCCTCCTCCTCCTCCTGTTACTCCACCTCCTCCTCCTCCTCCTCCTCTCTCCTCCTCCATTCCTTGTCCTTATAAACAACTCCTCCCTGTCGCACCCTGAGGCCGGTTGAAAAAGCGAGACTGGCACTTCGCCATAGACTTCCTCACCATTCAACCGAGATCGGGATCTTCTTCCCTTTGTGGATGCACACCGCCGATATTGGTGTTGGTGTCAACCTCTAGGACTGGGACGTTGGCAACATTTAGGGCGCGTGGTGTTCAAAATGTGGCTCTCGCCTCAACGCCGCGCATACTCGTCTTACAATTTGCAAGAACTCGCCGGATCGAGGGCGGGTGGTTTTCAAAATGTGGCTGTTGCTCGTTGAGGGCGGCTCCTTTTCAAAAGGTGGCTCTCGCAAAAACACCGCGCGCGTTCTTGTTAAACAATTGCAGGCATTCCACTATTATAAGCGATTGCTTGGCAACATGTGGCGATCGCCAGAGCGCGGCGCATACTCCTCTTAAATACTTGCAAGAGCTTCGCACATTGAGGGCGGCTCCTTTTCACAATGTGGAGAACGCCTGAGCGCCGCGCACATGCGTTCTAAAAATGTAAGAATTTCGCTACCTGAGGGCGGCTCAATTTCAACATGTGGCTCTCGCCTGAGCATCGCGCACATTCGGTTTGGAACACTTGCAAGATTTCCACGGATTGAGGGCGATTATTTTGCAACATGTGGCTCTCGCCAGGGCGCCGCACACATTCGATTGAACAAAATACAGTGTCACAGATTCGCATCGTTAACGTACCAGAAACGGTGCGTGGGAGGGATTCTGGATTGTCAAAGCACAACACTTAGGGTGATTCGCGGTGTTGAGATCCCAGAAATGGCATTCTGGCACGATTCAGGATCGTCACGCTGCTAAAATCAAGTGGGCTCGTGGTGTTGGGGTCCCGCGAACGGTGTTCTGGCACGCTCCTGGATCTTCAAACGGGTGTCTCCCGACGGGGCACCTCCCTCAGTGGGGATAAATCTCTGTAGGGGCATCTGGAGAGGGAGTTTGGAGGACGCGCAAATTCCAAGATCGTTAATGAGTCTTGGGCTGGCACTGGTCCTTCTCCTTCTCCTCCTCCTTCCCCAATTATTCCTCAGAGTGAATACTACTACTTTATTATCTCACCGAACTCCATCCTGAACCTATCTCGTGCCTTTCCGCGTATTGTGTCTTGCACGCAACAATTATGCGTCCTTGTTCAATCGGAACGGAACGCTTTCGTGTTTCAAGATGGTGCTTCCGCTGCAAAACTGGCCTCATTACAAGATCGGCGCTTTGCTCCCGTCGTTCAGGATGGCGCCCTAGCCCCTATCGAAGGCGACGTTTCCAAACCCGAATGTTTCCGTGTCAACCCGCGTTCCCGTGGTCCTCCTGCTCCTCTCGTTCCTCCTCCTCCTCCTCCTGTTGCTGCTGTTCCTCCTCGTCCTCGCTCGGGTTCAAGGCTCCCGGGCCGTCCCCCAGGACCATGCTTCGCCACAGGTTTTTGTTTTGTTGGTTGCACTCCTACGCACGAGCCCCAACGGCGGCGAAACACCCCAGGACCCCTGGTGTTCAGGGCCCCTTGGGTCATTCGAAGGGCCTGGGTCTGGTGTTCTTCGGGCCTCTACTCGGACCTCCGGCGGCCGTTCTGGGCGATCTGCCTCCCCCTGGAATGCTCTCGGCGGGGCGCAGCCCCTGGGTGCCATCCCGAAACGGGTCAGCCTTCAAAAGCTCACGGTCACTCCCCAAAAACTCCTTTCATGGCCACCGCCGCCACTGCTGGGCCACTGCGGGTCATGAAGGAACCGGGTCCTGTACCCTGGGGCCTTCCTCAGAGACCAGCTTCGGCCACATGGGAGCGACGAGCCAAATCTTTGCGTTCATAGGCTATTCGTGCTCATCCCGAGTTGGTGTTTGACAATCATCGGGCCCGTGGAGGGCCTGCGGGACCTGTCGGACCTGATGGACATGTGGGGCATGCGAGATCTGCGACACCTGTGGGACTCGTGGGACCCTGTGGAGCCTGCAAGAACGGTCGGACTTGTGGCACCTGCGACACTTGTGGGTCCTGTGGTGCCTGCGAGAACTGCGAGAACTGCGAGAACTGCAAGAACTGTGGAATCAAGGCAAATGGCCCACGCTGCTGAGGCGGGAGCGCCGTTCGGAGCGCAGCGCCGATCCGAAGATAGGGCCCACACTGCAGCGGGAACACCATTAGGAAAAAAAGGTACACAATCGGATGGTAAGCCATATAGAAATCCACTTCGCACAAATCCTCTGCAAAAAACAGGACGCGTAGGGGTCGAATTGAAACAACTCTAAAGAACATATCGGTCGCGCAAAACATGTGTGCAACAAACAATACGCGGGGGGGGAGCGGCTACACATTATGGGAGGGGAAGGGACTAGTATTCATCGTGTTCACTTGTAGAGGAGGAGGAGGCGGAGGCGGAGAAAGAGGAACTGGAAGAGGAGAGGGGGATGAGAGAGGAGGGACGGGGCGGAGGAAGTAGGAGAAGGAACAGGAGAAAAGAGAGGAGGGGGAGAAGGTGACGGACTGAGGCCTGGAGCCGAAGCCGCGGCAAGTCGCGCATGGGCGTGGTGGGGGGGGGGGGCGGTAAAGCAAGTTCCTGTCGTGACGACCCTGGCGTTGGCTTCAGACACCGCGCGGATCGTTGAACCTTGAACGATCGGCGGCGTTCCGATTGCTCGATCGCTCCATGGGTCAATTCTGGGTCACTGGCTAGAAGAAGGAAAAAACGGCATACACATAATCTTTGAGCGCTCCGCGCGATTTTCTTCGATCTGCGCTGGACCCCCCTCCCTGGCGCGCGGAGCGCGCTAGGGATGGCGCCAGAAGCACCGCCAGGGGGCGCCCAGCGCGGATCCAGGAAATCCGCGCGGAGCGCCAAGCATCTTATGTTTATAGCGTTTGTGTTTCTTCGTCGGCTGGCGGCGTTCAAACTCAAACGCCCGCGGCGGAGTCGCCGAGGGTCGACACGACGCGAACCTACCGCATGGGGCTTGCCTCGGCGCCTCGCCGTACCAGGCAGAGAGTGATCCGCTGCGCCTGGCGGTCGTGCGGCGAGGGGGGGGGGGGGCGGCGGGGGGCTGCACCTGCCTTCTCCTCCCCCCCCTCCTCCTCCTCCTCCTCCTCCCCCTCCTCCTCCTCTTCCTCCTCCTCCTCCTCTTCCTCCTCCTCCTCCTCCCCCTCCTCCCCCTCCTCCTGCGGATATGCCGGCGCCAGGTGCTGAATGCAAGCTCCGGGGGATTGCATCCGAAGAAGGGGGGCGCGGGGGGGGGAGGGGGCAAGCTAGGTGTGCTTGCGTCACATCTCATCTCACGTCCTACCCCTCCCTCCCATCCCTTACCATGGCGTAGATCTCCTATCTACTTGGACAGTCAGATGTCGAGCAGGGCAGTGATCCCAAGAAGGTACGCGATGGATGGAACGAAGATGGCGTGGACGAGCACGGTCGAGAGTAGCATGTCATATCCTGTCGTGGCATCGCTTAGAAAACCATTGCATCACACAACATCGCAGCGCCACGCACGGCATCGCACAGCGGTGCACAACACAGCATCGCATTGCATGCCGTGGTATGACACAGGATGATGTGGAAGGTACGTGGCCCGTCTACGAAAGGACAAGGCCTGCCTGGAATGCCGGCTCCGTGTCCTCAGCAACCGTGCCTGCCCAGTGTGGGCGCTCTCGCATGCCAAGTGCCGCCCGGAGGCGCGGGAGCGAGGCCGGCGCTGCAGCGGGAGCGCGATTTTGATCGACCCACGCGAGGAAACCAGGGCGGCGCTCCAGCGGGAGCGCCACTGGAAGAACCAAAACGCCCGGATTGAAAAAACACGCAAGTGGCAAATAATGAAATCCGGTGTGAAAGACCATACGCGGAGAGGACGGGAGACTCTCCGGACAGAGTCATGAGAAAGAGGAGAGTGGTAAATTCATCAGATTGAGGGGGCCGAGCGGTCATTCATTGTCCCTGGGTGCGTGGCTGAAGTAAGGGGTCCGTAAAGAAGATTATGGTTCTTGCGATGTTGTTGTTGCGGTTGTGGTTGTGGTTGTTGTTGAGTACTCACTTCGAAAGAACAATTGCTGTTGATCTCCGGCAACGGTTCCGCGCGCTCTCGCTTCGACGCCGGCTACATTTTCTGAAAACGAGGCTCCCGCTCGAGCGTTGGCTTGAGCCTAAATGTGGGCCCTTGGAGGCCCGGCTACGACATCAACGGCTCCCGCTCGACACTTCCTTACAATTTACCCCGAGACACCCTGGCCAGAGAGGCCCCCGAACTCAAGAACGGCGCTCACGCTGGAGACTTCCTCGCAATTCAATCAAGTTGGCGGAGGCCCAGCCACGACGACAAGGGCTCCTGCTCGATACTTCCTCACGATTTACTCCGAGAGCTCCTGGCCAATAAAGCCTCCGAACTCAGGAAGGGCTCTCCCGCTCGAGTTTGTTTCACGATGCAGTCAAATTTGTGGAGGCCCAACAACTACGACGACAATGGTTCCCGTTCGACACGTCCTGAAGATGTATTCGCAGAGGCCTTTGCCAGAGGCCCCCGAAGCCAAGAGTTGCGCTTTCGCTCGAGACTTTCTCGTCTGTCAGGCAAGTTGGTGGAGGCCCAGACACGGCGACAAGGGTTCCCGTGCGATATTTCTCAATATGTACTCCCGGAGACCCTAGCCAGAGAAGCCCCCGAACTCAGGAACGGCGAACTCGCTCGAGACCTCCGAGAATTTCAATCAGTGGCCGACAAGGGAGTTATGCACCCGAAAGGAGGTGCGATCGAAGAAGAAGTGGGCGGGTATCGAGGATTGGGGTATACAGGATGCAAGACACGAGTGCCAGTTAGAGCGAACAGTCTTAAAATGGTTGTTGTTGATGCTGCTGTTGTGGTTGTTGAACTCTCATTTCCGAAGAATATATATTTTTATATATATATATATGTATATGTATGTGTGTATGTGTGTATGTGTGTATGTATGTATGTATGTATGTAAGTATATATATATATATATATATATATATATATATATGTCCGCCGGCCCCCTTGTGGGGCCAGGCTGTAGGCCGAAGCTTCGCAGTTTCCTGTACCAGTTGCAGCTTCCAGTTTCCACTATTACAATTATGCTTCTTGCTGTTTACTGATCCTTGTTGATGGACCGCGCGAGGGCAGGTTTAGCACGCCCTGAGCGTGTGCTCTGAATTGCTGGGGTGGGTAAAAATTAACACCCCTCACGCAGATCGGCGGGGTCAGAGTCCAAAAACGCAAGGGTTGTGCCACATATCTAAAATCCGGTGGCACCCCTCACGCAGATCGGGGGGGGTCAGGGTCCAAAAACATATGGGATTCGCGACATTTCTGAAATTCGGTGGCACCCCTCACGCAGATCGGCGGGGTCAGGGTCCAAGAACACATGGGATTTGCCACATTCTGTAATTTGCTGACACCTCTCATGCAGATCGGCGGGGTCAGGGTCCAAAAACATATGGGATTTGCCACATTTCTGAAATTTGCTGGCACCCCTCACGCAGATCGCGGGGGGCAGGGTGCAAAAACATAGGAGATCTGCTACATATCTGAAATTCGGTGACCCCTCACGCAAATCGGCGGGGGTCACGGTGCAAAAACAAACAAAAAAAACATGTCTGAAATTCGGTGGCACCCATATGCAGATCGGCGGGGTCAGGGTGCAAAAACACATGGGATGTTTGCCACATGTCTGAAATTCGGTGGCACCCTTCACGCAGATCGGCGGGGTCAGGGTCCGAAAACCAATGGGATTCGCAACATGTTTTGAAATCTGGTGGCACTCCTCACGCGGATCGACAGGATCACGGTCTAAAAACACAATGGATGTGCCACATTTCTGAAATTTGCTGACACCCCTCACGCAGATCCGTAAGGTCAAGGTCCAAAAACACACGGGATTTGCGACATTTCTGAAATCCCGTGGCACCCCTTGCGCAGATCCGTAAGGTCAAGGTCGAAACAAAACAGGTCCCGACACTGCTTCACGGCGGCGCCCACACCTCATGATGTAGTTGTTGCATCACCCATGGTGCGAGACAGGGGGCCGAGGGCCTGGGGCGAAGACCTTGCGGATACATATACATACATACATACATACATACATACATACTTACATACATACATACATACATTACATCCATGCATGCATGCATACATACATACATACATATATACACATACATACAAACATACATACATACATACGTAAACATACATATACATATACATATACACATACATATACAGATACATGTACATATACATATACATATACATATACATCATCATATACACATACACATACATATACATATACACATACATATACACATACACATACATATACATATACATATATACACATATATATATATATATATATATATATATATATATCATATACATATACATATACATATACATATCCACACATACATATATGTGTATATGTATCCAACCTGTCTCCTCGTACCATTCATGTTTCCCATCCCTTACCAGAGTCTTGCGTGCAAGGGGGGGGTGCCAGCGGACGACCCCCGGACCCCGAAGGACCCCGCGCCAAGTATGGGCGGCAGCGCGAACGCGACTCCGAACCCCCGGGGTGGACCCCAGGACGGCAGCGCGAACACGAGACCGAACTCCTGACGAGAGGGCGGTAACGCGAACGCGAGTCCGAACCCTTTGCGGACAGCGGCAGCGCGATCACGAGTGCGAACCCTCCCCAAGGGAGCCTCCCCCCTTCCGAGTTTGGCAAGGAAGGGGCGGGAGGGGCCAAAGCGGCTGCGGGGGAGGCGGCAGCGGGATCGACGTGCCAGGGGACGCGCCAAGGAAGATAAATGGCATGAGGAACTCAATGGGATGTTTATCCAACATGTTTCCTCGTCTCATTTCTTTTTGCGTCCCATCCCTTACCACAGTCTTGCGCGCAAGGGGGGTTGCCAGCGCAAGACCCCACGACCCCGAGGGGGCCCGCGCCAAGTAGGGGCGGCAGCGCGAACGCGAGTCCGAACCCCCGGAGTGGACCCCAGGAGTGGCAATGCGAACGCGAGACCGAACCCCTGAGGAGAGGGCGGCAGCGCGAACAAGAGTCCGAACCTTTTAAAGGGAGCGGCAGCACGATCACGAGTCCGAGCCCTCCCCAAGGGACCCCCCCCTTCCATGCACCCCACTCTGGTTTACCGTCATCAACCCTAGGAAGTGGGGGGCGGGAAAATGCTGACAGCGAAACTGTGAATTATGGCAGTGCTACCCTCTTTGCTCTCTCTCACTCTCTCTCTCTCTTTCTCTCTCTCTCTCTCTCTCTCTCTCTCTTGAGACCGCATCATTATCGAGGGTCGCCGCCAGGCGGCGGAAGCGATCCAGCTCCACCGGGCCGGACGAGTTCTGCAGCATGATCTGCGGCCCGTCCGGGATGTAGAGCCCCGCCTCCTCTGTATCCTGCCACCCTCCCATGATGAGCGCGAGGCGCATGTTGTTGTAGCGCTGGTGAGGCCACGTCGCGCCACCGCGCCGCAGCGAGTACGGCACGCCCTGGTGGCGCTCGAGCTCGAGGCTGGAGACGAGCTTCTGAAGACCGTCCTGACGTCCACCGAGGGTCTCAGGATCGCGCGCCGCGCGGCAACCTGTCGAGGAAGTGCCGCACAAACCTGACCACGCGCGGGTCGTGGAGCGCCACCGGTTCTCACAGTGGCGACGAACTCCCGACCTCGTCACTGGCATCGCAATCGCCATACTGAGCCCATCGCTGGCGAACGGAAGCCGCCATCGGTGCAGGCTCGGCAGCACCATCGTGCGAAGGAGAGCCGCGCATCCCACAACCAAGAGCCGCGCCGCGACATTGCGAGACCACGAACGCGCAACACTTGTCAAAGCCAACAGCACATTTTCTGGTATCGGCGCGGCACGTTCGGAAGTCTTCGCCCTCTGCCAGGCTTTGGGACGAATCCAGGAACTATGCGGACTGCGTTCGCGCCGCAAGACGAACTGCACATCTGAAATGGTAGAACTTGCATCGCCCGC